AGGGAAGAAATGAGGGAAGGAGGGAGGGAGGGAGGGAGGGAGGGAGGGAGGGAAGGAGGGAAGGAGGGAAGGAGGGAAGGAGGGAAGGGGAAAGAAAAGAAAAGGAAAGAAGAGGGTTGGAGCCAGGCATGGTGGCACACGTATTCGAGCCCAGCTCTCGGGAGGCAGAGGCAGGTGGATCTTTGTAAGTAAGTTCAAGGCCAGCCTTGTCTACATAGTGAGTTCCAGGCCAGCTGGAGCTACTGTGAGACCCTGTCTCAAAAAGACCCCCCCCAAAAAAAGAGTATTATTTGATGGTAGAATGTGGTAAGTTAAGGATAAATATGGTAATACCTCAAGTAGAAAGTAAATAAACCAATCGTGGAGATTAAAAGAAATTTTCTCTTTTTTATATTTTATTTATTATTTTTATTTTATATGTATGAGTGTATTGCCTGCATGTAAGTGAGTGTAATCGTGTTGTGAAATGCCACGGAGATCAGAAGAGGGCTTCAGATTCCCCTGGAACTGGAGTTAAAGACAATTCAAAGCTGCCACGTGGGTGCTGGGAATGTTCAAGATACTCAATCCAAGTGAAGCCACAACAAAACAAAACTGAATCCAAAGCAAGAAAATGTGGTTACATCAGTAAAAACAAGGAAATGAGAAGTAAAAGAGACTTTCTGCTGGGGTATGGTGGAGTACCACTTTAATCCCAGCACTTGGGAGGCAGAGGCAGGCCTCTCTGAGTTCAAGGCTACTCTGGTCTAGACCAGCTGGGGCTGCTGGGAGACCAGAGGGAGGGAGAAGAACAGGGGGAGGGAGAGTGGGGAGGGGGAGGAAGAAAAAACTGGAATTATGAATAATTGTTAGCCACCGTGTGGGTGCTAGGAACCAAATCCAGGTCCACTGCAAAAGTAGCTCTTGCTGAGCCATCTCAGCTATCTCTTTCTCTGTGGTCTTATTGAGACGGGTCTCCCTATAGCCCCAGCTGTCCTGGAACTCACTATATAGACCAGGCTGACCTTGAATTTGGAGATCCACCAGCCTCTGCCTCCGGAGTGCTGGGATCAAAGGCGTGTGCCACCAGACCCTGGGTTCCATCTCCGCCATTTCTCTAGCCCTGACATTTTTGACAGCGACTCACTAAATAGCTCAAGCTGGCCTTGAACTTGTAATTACCTCAGCCTCCCAAATGCTGGAAATACAGGTGTGTACCATCACACACAGGCTTTTACATAATAGCTTTATTCATAGGCCAGAACTAGAAACAGCCCAAATCTACCAACAGATTAATGTATGCGTCACTTACCTATATAACTAAAGAATCAAATAAAATTTTTATATATGCAACCAGTGTATGAATGTACCTTGCTGGGAAAAGAATCCTGCATCTGTGTAATTCGATTTATGTGAAATTCTAAAAAAAGGCAGATTTTTTTTTTCCTTCAATGCTGGATATTGATCCCTTGGCACCTGGTAGGCAAGCGCTCTTTCACTAAGATATATCCCCAACCCTAAACATAATCTGTAGTGACAACAAACCATTGATTTCATGAGGTCAGAAGTGAAAGGGATTTATTGAGAAGGAATACTAAAGAACTTCTGAGGGTAAGCTAAGTATAAAAGTACAAACCTGGAATGGTTTCAAAAGCATATGTATTTGTCAAAGCTTAGAAAGGGTATATCTTAGCTGGGCATGGTGGCACATGCCCTTAATCCCAGCACTTAAGAGGCAGAGGCAGGCAAATCTCTGTGAATTCCAGGCCAGCTGTGCCTCAAAAAGACAAATATATGTGTGTATGTATATGTGTGTATATGTGTATATATATGTACTAGAAAAATTATTTTTATTATATAATTGTTAGCATGCAGCAAAGAACCTAAAAATCAAACACCAAAGGGTTAGGTTGAAACTAGAGGCCACAATTTTTACCTGTTTAATGAAGAACCTTAAAATAAGTACTGGCCACCATTGCTTTAAGAATACAAAACAATGAAGTCACCATTACTCATTTTTATATAGATAAGGATAAAATCTGGAGACTGTCTACAATACATTGGCATCACTAATAATAATAATCACCCACCCTTTGGCAGAAAGTCCTCTTTGTCTCTTACTGCCGCAAAGTTGAGATTCTCTTGGCCTGCTTTAATTAGTTAAGCACCTGTTGACATACTACTTTGAAAGAAGTTGAAAGAAGCAATGTTATTTATGGGAAATTGTGTTTCTTAGGATTTTCTTTTGTATTAAACTACTTTAAAATTTTAAGGAGGTGGTTTATATCATATGATGAATAATCTGCAGATTTTGATCCTAACAGACCTAGTTTTAATTAACTAAATCACCATAAAACCTGTATAGATTCTCTTAGAATTAAAACCAGAAAGTCAGTACCTCTTCTAAACAGTAGCTGGGTGTGGTGGCCCATGTCTTTAACCCCGACACTAGGGAGGCAGAGGCAGATGAGTCTCTGAGTTCCAGGTCAGCCTGGTCTACATAGCAAGTTTCAAAGACAGCTAGGATTACATAGTGAGACCCTGCCTCAAAACAAACTGTAAAAGTGACTAATGGATGCATAATTTTGGTAATCTTTGTATATCAAAAAAAATCCAAATCATATAGGAGATGCATCAAGTGTATTAGAGTTAAATCGCTAAACACATAGCAGAACTTGCATAGTGTTTACTGATTGTTACGTGTGCTAGCATGCTGGGGCTTTTAGTTGTTCATCCCTCACACTTTCCAACATGACCCATCATTTCTAACTGTCTCCAAATAGTCTCTATCTGACTGCTTAAAAACCATCCCCACTCTTTGCTACACCTTCCTTCATCCCACCAACAGCTTCTCTATTCCCCATCTCCTTTTTCTTCCTCTGTCTTTCCTTCCTCTTTTCTTCCTTTGCCTACCACCTATAACATACCTAAATCCCTTCAGGTGAACACAGACCACAGGAGAGAGTGCTCCTAATTTGTAGGATTTTTTTTTTGTTTGAATTCATAAGCTTTGTGTATCTTATATATACATACATGTTTATAAGTATCTGTTTTAGGCATCCTTGTAGAGCTAATAGAAAGATCTGCCTCTTTTATCTGACTGTGGATTCCTCTCCCATGAGTAAATGTACCTAATTCCAAGTTTCATAATGAAGGATTTACTTTAAGGGGAAATTTTTGTCACCTTAGAGAATTCTTTTTGTCTATCAAGATTGTATATTCATATTTCCAGTTTTATATCTGTAACTATATTTGCTACCCTAGGTGTAATTATTTTCTTAAATGCTGTGAAATCTGTTATTGCAGGTTTTATTTTCTTACAGCGCTGGGGAACAAACTCTGGGGCCTGGTCACTCATGGCAGACAAATGCTCTACTGAGCTACACTGCAGTTCTAAATTTTGTTTCTTAAAACTTGTGTTCACAGAAAATCCAACATTCAACCTGAAGTACCCTCTGAAAGCTGTTTCAAGCACAAAGGAAGTAATCCCAGTAGCAGCAAATGGAACTGAGGTACTGATCTGATATGTTCATTCCAAATTGAGTGTATTTGTCCCTTTTGCCCTTTTTTTGCCCTTTTTTTTGTTGCTACTTATTTAATTTTTTATTTTAATGTATATGAGTGTTTTATCTGAATATATGTTAGATGCACCCATGTGTGCAATGTCTGTGGAAGCCAGAACAGGGCATCCGATTCCCAGAAACTGGAATTATGAGTGGTTGTTAGCTAACATGTGGGTGCCAGGAACCAAACCTAGGTCCTTTGCAAGGGCAGCTAATGTTCTGCTCTTAACTACTGAGTCATCTCTCCAGCCCCCTGTTTTGCTCTTCAAGAAGCATCTGAGTCACAGTTCAGCTTAGGAAACACATTAAAGGGTTTTTTTTGTTGTTGTTTTTTTTTTTTTTTTTTTTTGAGACAGGGTCTCGCTGTCTATCCCTGGCTTGCCTGGAGCTAATGGAGATCCACCTGCATCTGTCTCCTGATTGCTGGGGTTAAAGGCATGTGCCTTTTAAAAAAGCGCTATTGTGAACCTACTTACTTATATAATTAAACCAATTAAATTAAATTTTTCAGAAGCTGAAGAAACTAAAATAGTTTTTTATTTAACAAATTAACAAAAAGTTTTATTTTAGGAGTAATAACTATTGTTCATGAGGTTATTGGAGAAACATTAGTATAATGTTTAGGAATGCAACTTAGAAATAAGATAGCTTTCCAGAAGGCCTAAGACCTGTCTCATTCTGAAGTAGTGATACTCTGTAGTGTAGAAATCTAACCTCCAAAGGGTTAAAGAATTTCCTACTATGTACAAGGTGCTGGGTTCATTCCCCAGGATCATTAAAAAAAAAAAAAAAAAAACTCCAGAAGAACTCTTGCCTCCTGCTTGAAAATATTGGACCTAAGGTCTAGGAGATCACTTAGTTATTAAAGTGCTTATCACAGACATGAGGACATGAATTCTACACCAGAATCCATGTTCTGCTCTGTTTTGTTTTGTTTTGTTTTGGTCTTAATGAGGCAGAGTCTCTCTGTAGCCCCAGCTGCTCTGGAACTGGCTATGTAGACCAGGCTGGCCTTGAACTCACAGAGATCCGCCTGCCTCTGCCTCCCAAGTGCTGGAATTAAAGGCGTGTGCCACCATGCCTGGCTTCATGGCAAGTTAGTTGGCACTTGCTTGCAATCCCACTAGTGCTGGGAAGGCAGAGACAAGTAGATTCTGGGAACTTTCTGGCCTCCCAGCCTGGCCTGTCAGTGAATACCAGGTCCTAGTGAGAAACCCTGACTCACAGAAACAAGGTGAATGGCTCCTCAGGAACAACTGCTGAAGTTGAACTGGCCTCCACACGCGTGCATGGCCTCCACATGTGTGCATATACTTGTGTATGTACCAGTATACACATACACACACACACACACACACACACACACACACACGATTGGATATAGTTTCATATTTTCTTAAAATAACCTCTCATTGTTTTGATAAAAAGATTAAAAGAATGAGAAGTAAGTTTGTACAATTACAGTTAACCAATTTTATCTATATTCACCAAATGAGCTCACTAACCTTTCTTGCAAATGTGTTTATAGGCTTTTGATTCCTTTGAACATCTGCCACCTCTCCCAGAGCCACCATCACCATTTCCTCCACTGGCAGAAAAAATCCGAGACACACTTCCTCCCCAAAAGCCTGAGCTGAGAGTGAAGCGGGTGCTGAGGCCCTTGGGCATTGCCCTGACGTGGAATATTGCCAAGGTGAATCCCAAGTGTGCTCCTGTGGAAAGTTACCACCTCTTCCTGTGCTGTGAGGATGCAAATCATTTGACATGGAAGAAAATAGGGGAAATTAAAGCTTTACCGCTCCCAATGGCCTGTACTTTATCTCAGTTTTTGTCTTCAAATAAATATTATTTTACTGTCCAGTCAAAAGACATTTTTGGGAGATATGGACCATTTTGTGATATAAAATCTATTCCTGGGTTTTCTGAAAACCTTACCTAAAAGTCCTCAATAATTACATGTTGTGTGCTGCATGTTATTTTTTTTCATATTTGAGCATTTTGTTTTCAGCATTTTTCTAATATTATTTACCTTTGTACGTACAGTTTTGTGAGCCCTTTGTATAGGGAGAGTCTTCCATGTATTGTAAGTGGCATAGAGTTTTGTGAAATTCTGATTGCATTCAGTTTGTACTTCCAGTGTTGTGTTCTCAGTCATACCTATTATGGACCCATGTTACCCCAACACTTTTTTTTGCCGAGTGTGGATCATCCTGGGTGCATCTCTGCTGTGACCTAGTGCACAGAAAAGCTTTCCGGTTCTGTTTGAATTCTAAATGCGCTATTGATTTGTGCCCATTGTTTTGTTTTGTATTTTGCTTGATTTTAGCTCTTAGTCATTTGGGGGAATTTGTTAGGAGACTTATTACACTACACTTGTCAGGCCACGTGTGGTGGTACATACCTATAATCTGCCACTTGGGAAGTAAAGGTAGACATATCTGAATTCAAGGCCAGCCTGGTGTGCATAGAAAGTTCCAGAGCGCCATGGTAAGACCCTGTCTCAAAGTAAAACTGTTACTCATTATGTGCTATGTATACAAAAACATACAGTACCTCTCAATAAAAACATTGTTGAACCTATTTCAACTGTGCAGTTGACCCCACTAGATTTAAGGCTTTAATTTGTTGATTCCTAATTTTCTTAAATGCCTCCCTTTGCCAATTTTCTGGCTTCCATCAGTATTCAGAGAAAATAACACTAAAAGCCTCTTAATACTGGCTGAAAGGATGGCTCAGTGGTTAAGAGCACTGTCTGCTCTTACAGAAGACCTAGGTTTGACTCTCAGCACCCACATGGCAGCAAACAACCATCTATGAGTTCAGTTCCAGGAGAATTTGATGCCCTCTTCTGACCTCTACAGGCATTGTGCAACACAGGTGCACTTACATACATGTAGGCAGTATGGATTCCCCTGCAGCCTGGGCAGTGCCACTCCCCACCCCCACCCCCAGTTGTCCCCCTCCTAGCCTTGGGCCTAGGCCCACTCTTGCTCTTCCACCTCAGATCTCTGGACTAGCTTCCTAACCCAGATTAGCTTAATCATCTAGAGCAGTTAGACCTTCCACAGGCTGTCCCCAGCCCCACCTTGCCCTTAGCCGCCTGATCTGCCTACCTCAGACCTACCTACCACCCTGGTAAATCAGATCCCACCCACTGCCTTGATCCCCAGAGCCTGAGCAGCTCCACACACTGTGCTCCCTCCCTCTTTTTAGCCTTGGGTATAGGCCCACTCCTCTTTCTACCCCAGAGCTCTGGACTACCCTCTTAGTTCAGACCTGCCCAGTGCTTCCTCATACCTTACACCCAGACTAGGTAAATTCTCCAGCTTCATTTGTTAGACCCTCCACAGTTGTCCCCACCTTTGTCTTGCCCTTGGCCTCCCTCCAGATCTGCCTACCACAGACCTTCCTACTACCCAGACCAGCCTACTACCCTGCAAGAACCTGAAATACCAACTTTTTTTTTGATTAAACGTCATTAAATTTAATTTTCTTTAAACACAACCTTTTCCCACTCTTAGCCACTTGGGGGAGACCCACCCCCTCCATCCTGGGGTGGGGGGGTCATATGTGTAAAGCCTGAGAAGGTGAGGATGTAGTATGAAAATACTATTTACAATGGGGAAGTAGACATCTGTTCCTGCTGTAACCTCCAGACACCCCCATCCTTGGGCCCCTTTTGCTTTTCTAGAAAAAGCTCCCCGGAATGGGTTGAGGGTAGAAAAAGAGTCCTTTCTTTAAACCAGGGTCATTCTAAAACCAATATGGAGTAGGAAGCTCTGAGATCAGCCGGGGGGCGGGGGGGAATGGATAGCACCGAGATCCTAACTGGAGGGGTTGCCCCATCACCCTGCAGTTGGCCAGCATGAGGTCAGCCTGGTTCCTAGGTCCTGCGTAAACATTTTTCCCTTTCTAGGTCCTGTCCTCCCCTGCTTCTTGCAGAGTCTCTCGTGTCTTGGTTCCTTCCCTTCAAACCATCCCATGGAAGACTCCAGCAGGAGGATCATGGGGTGGCAATGTCAGTTCATTCCTTCCAGATCAGGCGAGCTCATCCTCCAAATGAAGTGCCGATTTGCATAGCCAGACAAAGGTAGACTCCTTTCCTGGGCAAGAATGAGGGAGGTGGAGAATCTAGTGCCAGGAATAGAGTGGTCAGGCTGGATGAGGCCATTGGTACTGGGTAACAGGAAAAGAAGTTCTAGGAGGCAGAGATGGGGCAAGTCTGGCAATGGTCCTACCCTGCTGGTGGAAGCCTAGCCCTATGCCACCCTTGCCTTCAGGTGTGTGTGACCATCACCACCCAACAGTCTTGTTCACTGTGTAGAGGAACCAGGTGCCCACAAAGTAAGAAGTCTTCTTCTAGTCTGCGCAGGCAGCCGTCAAGCCTTCATGAACACCAGCTCATGGAACAGAATCCCGATGCTCTGAGTGGCCTCTGTAGGGCCAGGAATGGGCTTGTAACACATGGGGCAGACACAGCGCACTTCCGGCCACTTCAGATGCTTGCGGTGGAAAGCATGCTGGCATGGAAGCACGCCCAGCTCGTCCTTCGCCTTGAAGTCTTCCAGACAAACTGCACAGGTCTGCCCATTGAGCTATAACTTCTTGGCATCACCTTTAAGCACCACCTCCTTGCAGCCATATAGTTCACTCTGTGCCTGGTTCGAAAGGAGTTTGCTGATGAAAGAACAGCAGAAGATGAGGCTGAGCATGAAGACGAAGATGCCTGTTCCAAAGATGACGGGGTAGATGTTGAAGGGAAGGTCCTGGAAACTGATAGGTGGCATTGAGCAGGACTTGGTACTAACCAGTCCCAGGCCACAGAAACACCCGTTACACCACTGGAATAGGTGCATCAATGAAGTCGAGATCGGTTTCCCGGAGGAATGGGGGCACGGTGGCTGGCGGGGTGCAGGAGGGCGAGGAAGGAGGAAACAAACAGAAAGCAGGTCCCCAGGGAGCCGCTCTGGGTCCAGGGAGCCACGGAGCAGCAGCCTGGGAGGCCCAAGCGGCACGGTCCATCCAGTCGCCGAGAGCTCAGGGATTCCAAAACCTCCCGACTAACTTTTCATACCCGAGTAAAAAGCAACTAAGCCATATCAGTGGTATAAACAGAACCAAATTTCAACTAAACAAAGAATAGAATTTTCCATCAGACACCAACAAAAATCCATATGCCCAAATAGCAACACAAAAACACAGTATGAAAAATCAGGAGACTATGTCACCAACAAAACCCACCAGTCCTACAGACGTGAACTACAATGAGAATCACCCTGAGGAACCCCACAACACAGAATTTAAAAGAGCAATCATTAACATGATCAAAGAGCACACAACTCAAAGAACTCAAGGAGGATAGACACTTATGACATATGCAGCTGACTGAAATAAAAACAATTCAGGACTTGAAAAATAAATTCACAAAAGAGATAGAAATAGTGAAGAAAACCCAAGCCAAAATGAAGATGGAATTGAAAAAAATAAGTTAATTGAAAAGACTGAGAAAGTCTCACAAGAATGAATGAAATGGAAGACAGAGTTGAAGAATTGGACTCTTCAAGCAAAGGCTATAAAAAAATTTTAAAACACACAGAAATGGAATATGCAGGAAATGTGGGACACCATGAAAAGACCAGATCATAGGCATACAGAAAGAAGAAGAATTTCATTGACCAGATCTTCAACAGAATTTTAGAAGAAAACATCCCTATACAGATACTTATACAAAGACATACCTGTACAGATATAAGAAGCACGTAGAATACCAATTAGGATCAAAACAGAAACAAACTCCCATGGCATATCATAGTAAAAACATTAAATGCACAAAACAGAGGGTACTAAAATCTGCCAGAGAAAAAGTTAAATATAAAGGAAAACCCATCAGAATTACAGTTAACTTTTCATTGCAAACTGTGAAAGCCAGAAGAACCTGGACCAAAGTATTTCCAGTTCTAAATGACCATGGATGCCAACCTAGAATACTTTATCCAGAAAACTATCATACTTGAAGGGCAATGGAAAATTTCCCATGACACAAATAGGCTGAAAGAATTCATGTCCACCAAACCAGCCCTACAGAGAATACTTGAAGCACCACAAAGGACCAAAGGTAGGAATTATTATACCCAAGAGGTTACAGAAAGAAAACAAAGGAAGGTATAATTACAGAAACACAAAATAGGACCAAGAATTCAAATCAAAATGACAGTAACCATATCTTGCTCTATTTTCTTTTTCTTTTTTTTTTTTTTTTTTTTTTTCTTTTTGAGACAAGGGGCCCCCGTAGCCAAAACTGGCCTGGAACTCACTATGTAGACCAGATTGGCCTTGAACTCACAGAGATCTGTCTGAGGGCTGGGATTAAAGGCATTCACCATCACGCCCAGCTACATCTTTCAGTAATTGCTCTAAATATCAAGGCTTCAACTTCTCAGTCAAAAGACACAAACTGGTGGAATGGGTTAAGAAAAAAATCCATTATTTTGTTCTCTTCAAGAAACTCATCTTCAAGGATAGGCACTACCTTAGGATGAAAGGATGGAAAGAAATATTCCAAGCAAATGGCACCAAGAAATAAACAGGGGTTGCAATTCTAATATTTGTCAAAATAGAGTTCAAATTAATTTTATGTCTTATAGAGTTTATAATGAGTAAAAGATTCTATAAGTGTAATAATACATCTGTAAACCTAGAAATGTACAGCCAATTTTGAAAGAGATGTACCCTAGCTCAGAAAAATGTTATTGAATAGGTTAATGCTGTTGTAATGAAATGCTTCTTTTAATTAAAAAAATTTTAAAAAAAACTAATCAGAAGAGATAAAAAGAATCACTTCATTCCAATCAAAGGAACAATTGACCAAGAAGATATTACAATCATGAACATATACGCACCAAACTCTGGTACACCCAATTTCATAAAAACAGTACTGCAGGACTATGAAACACAGATTAACCCCAACTCAGTAATAGTAGATGACTTCAATACCCCCCACTACCTTTGAAATACAAGGAGAAATACAGGTCAACTGGACCAAGAATAAACAGTGACATCTGAATTAAATGCCATCTTACATCAAATGGATCTAACAGACATCTACAGAATATTCTACCCAAGCACCAAAGAATACACTTTCTACTCAGCAGCTCATGCAAGTTTCCCTAGAATTGACCACATACTGGGGCACAAAACAAACCTCAACAAATACAAAGCAATTGAAATAATTCCATGCATTTTATCAGACCATAATGCAATAAAGCTTATAATCAGCAAAAGAAGCTCTATTAACTACACAAACTCATGGAAATAAACAACATACTCCTGAATGATGAATGGGTCAAAGAAATAATTAAGAAAGAAAAAGTATTCCTGGAACTAAATGAAAATGAAAATACAGCACAACAAAACCACTGGAATACTTTAAAAGCAGTCCTAACAGAGAAGTTTATAGCTCTAAAGGCCTACATTTAAAAATCTGAAAGATCACATATAAATGACTTAACAGTCAAATGCTTGGCCAGATAGGACTTAACATATATGACAGAATGTATGAAATCCATTTGGGGGGAGGGGTCTAAATTTGTTAAGATC